ACAATGCGAGACGATCAATTTGCCAGAAAAAATATTCCAAATTGTCCTCTTTTGGCTAGTCTCTCACAGGATTGCTCAGCTTTTCGATCATCCTGTATATAAAGCGCGTTGCGCCTTCTTTTAGACATCGCTTGAAAATGGTTCGAGAAGGTAGACACCTCTAGCTAAGCGTAGACGACATGCAGCCATCGCACTGGTTCACCTAGACTTACAGACACAGTCTACGATGAAAAAGCCAGAAGGAACATACTGCCATCAGCCAGAATGAGTCTGATTCGAGTGTGCAGACAACCATCGAAATGATACCATGGGGTGACTGAGAAAACAGCTCGTTGGATAGAGACGAATGATGGTCAATCAGAAGAGAAGGGAACCCCCACCTCTGTGGAGACCTCGCGAAATATATCTATATCTATATATGTACGTTGCATGACCCGCTTGGTCCAAAAATGAAGCTAGCTTAAAAAAGGTCGTCAGAGTTAACTTTTGCTTATATGGTGTTACGAGACCTAACAGCCAACTAACCTGCAGCGAACAGGATCAGGAGGTTCTCTCATACTAAGTGAGACGATACCAACCTTGCTAAGGCGCGATAGAGGAGAGAAAGAAGCTACTTTACGTCGTTTTTAATCCCGTCCTCAACTCTACTAGTAATGTTACCGTCATTACTTATTATAAGCGTCAGATCACCTTGGGACAGTGAGGCTTGCAAGCAGCAACGACTCTCATTGCCGGACGACTACCACTGCGATTTCTTAGATAGAGTAGTAGAGAGAGGTCCACTTCATCACGCCCTTCGCAATGAGAGTGGTGAAGTGAACTCCCGCGAACAAATTTATTGTCGATATCGCTTGAATCCTTAAGCTAGTTTATTTTACAATCCGCGATGACAGTACAAACCGCCTGTGCTTCAAATGTGAGAGATTTATTAAATTGTCAATTAACCTGGCCACACGTTTAGCTTCACTAATTCCGCCGGGCGGCCTATATGACCAAACGTGGGTTTAGCAATAAACAACAAAAATGAAAACACATCAAATTTTTCATAAAATCATATACCTATGATAGTTATTAAAATAACTTGTAGGAATTAGTGGGTATCAAAACTCTATTTGGGTAAAGCAGAACGTCAGCAAGGCCAGATGAAGGGACACAAAACAATGGACCAATATGAAGAAATTGTGATGCCGCGATTATTATACTAGAGAAGTTTTGCGTCATTGTGATACAGATGTTGCTATTCCTAACAAAGTTTCTCCGCGGTGACGTTGGCCGAACGCTCTCCGTCGACTATTATAGGAACAGTATCCATTATCACTTTGGTCACTAGAAGGAATCAGGCCCCAATCACCTGCCGCCCGATAGGAGAAACAGCATTACCAAGAAAAATCTAGTAATGCTGGTTCTGTGCTTATCTTGTTTACGCGCCGCGCTCCCGGCGCCTATTAGTCGTTTCCGTTCCAATGCCCTTGTGTCAGCATGCAAAATCACTCAGTCAATCTAACAAATTCGACTGCTTCGGTAGGACTTTACCTATCGTCGACTGGCGAACGTAGGCCAAACGCAACACGTTCACCCTATTGCTATTGGACGCCAACTGTTCTTTACATACCCACTATGGTATTTCGGATTGATTAGAATTATGACACAGTGAATTGGATATAACCAATAACAAATCCGTTTTACTGCCCCCTTAGGTCGAATTCATTTGCCCTTGTTGGCAGACTCTCGTAGATCGGTGAAGTGTTTTTGTGACGTAAGATAGCAAGCAGCAAATGCTGTATTAGGTATATATCTCTGGTAAGAGTTCTTCAGAACGAAACGCCACCCAGTCTTTAGCCATACGCCACTGTCTATGTAAAGGTGAATAAAATCTCCGGTCGTCGTTGTGACTGGCTTTACTAACATCTATATTTACTCTTTTTCTTATCGAAGACAAACCACGGGTACTGAAACAAACATTTCCCCCACAGTTGTTACAATATGAGCGCCGCGGTATGGCGGTATTATGCTATACAACGGCATAGGTTCAATAGAAAAACATTAAAGGCACTAACACATCTCCTTATAGGGTAGTCTCCAGAATTCGCCTGTGTCCTGGGCTTTGTGTGGATATCAACCTCATCAATAGCTCTATAACAACAAACAACTAGTTAACGCTCCCGGTAGGCGATCTCCTCATTAGCTAGTTGATTAACCGACTCGTCAGGATGGATACCCACAGGTCTCTTTGATTTTTTGGTTGACTGACTAAAGAGGTTACGCTTTGATCAGCAACAACAGAAGCCCACGCTTACTTTAATCATATCGCTTGAAAACCCACTTGTTTCTACCTATCGATCTTTCCTTATATTCGAGCACGAATATGTCGGTCTAAACGTATTTGCCTACCGTATCTCTTTAACCTAATGTTACGTTATTCTGTTTCCCTTCGGCAGTGAAACATCAGAAAGGCAGACGGACGATTTCGAGGCAATCTGATTATCCTATCCTATACGTACGGCTGTAAATGTTTTTTTTCCATCCTTTCGATTTTCGAGACCTCTTTCATCCGCTCCCCAATAGAGTTCATCGCTATTCTTACACCTCTAACTATTACTTCAGAACGTTTCTTTATAGCCTCGTTTTTTTCTATCAACATTTCCATAGGTCACACATTGTCGCCGCTGCTGCTGCTGCCGCCGCCGCCACCGCCGCCCCCTAATAACATTGCCAATTTAGCATTCGTTACCTCTCCCTGGAAGTGAGAACAAGTCAGAAGAGGAAGATCCGGTTCGGCGCTGCCAGAAAGAATCAACAGGCCTCATCAGCAAACGCTCGCACCATCGTTATAACTATCTCGTTATTATCGTTGCTTAGATTTTAGTTATTTCCAACGAAATGGTGGCAGAAGCAAGGGAGGAGAAGAGAATATGGAGATGATCCCGTGACCGATCGGATTACTGTTGACCCTCCGTCAGCTATTGCTGTCTACTGCTCTGTCTTACGATTCTCGCTCGCACGCCGATACTGATTCGGTCTGATAGCGCTAGAACTATAGGTATATATATATATGCGTGTGTGTGTGTGTGTGTGTGATATGGAATAGTTTCAATTCGATACTTAATCAATCGAGGAGAAAGACTGATCTCTTAATAGCCCAACGACATAGTAATATCTGTAGCATACGAATATATATAGGAAAGAAAATAGGCCAGGGACAACGGTACAGTCCGTGCTACGTAGTCGCACGGGCATGAGCGAACTTTTCAATGGTTCTCTTTGTCGCTTTCTGTCTCCTACATAACCGCCCTCGTCTTGACCACATCAGTCCTTTGCAGAACAGGACAACGGACAAACTCCTGGTGTCGTCGTTCTACACACAAACACAGTCAGCCACAGCCACGAGCATTAGATAGGCGACGAACCTTGATTCGTGGGCACGCATATGTTCTGTCACTGGATGCCAGTCTAACAATGACATTCAGTTGTCATTAAAGGAGGCAGATTGTTAGTCGAAATCGGAAGCGGCTCCCTTGAAGCGTTTGAAGCATCTATAGAAAAATAGGTGGGCGCAAAAAATATGGATGGTCTTTCTCGCCTCTGAGTACTGAATGTTCTAAAGCGGATCTCAGGTTAACCCCGTATCGTTTGTTTTTGAAATAGGTCCGAATGATAAACTCGCAAAACAGACGCTTCATTTGCATCTCAAACGTGGGCGGTTGGGCTTCGACTGTACGTGATTATGATACCCTCCGTTTTCAATATTTGTATTTCCATATAATCATAATTCGTGACAAAGTAACATAGTAAGCTGGCGACATCTGCCAGTAACATACTATAGTAAGGTAGAGATGGTCGTATCCTTTGACCCATGCCGAAGGCGTTTCACGGCGAAAAGCCAATTCTAGCAGCTAAAGTTAAGGAGGTTCATAGAAGTAGCAGCAGAAACCTTACTTCCTTAATTGGCCCTATTCAGAGATCAACTGATCTCTGGAAAAGCATCGATAGCCGTTAGTCAAACATATGCTCAGCGATCCGTAATCTCACATACCGCGTCGTCGGCTGGACTTGAATCAGCTACCTTGGTCATACAATAATAATAATAATAGAAGCGTTGAGAGGCTCTAACGGCCTTCTATGGCTACGCACGCAGATTGCACTACAATCATATACAAAAGACACGAAATCCAATGAGGCATTATATGGAAAACGTACGAGTGAAATAGAATGCAAGATAAATGAGCGACGTTTAATATTTGCCTAAGTAAATGTAAAAAATTATTCAAAGGAAAACAACATAATTGCACCATAGAGAGGCGAAAGAGGTGAATACTGTCCAGTTTACTTTGTTATAAGCTAGATAAGGGAAAGCGAAAAAAATATTGTTTAAGCAAGGCGAAGCCGCATTTGCTTCGTTTATTAGATGTACTCAAAACCCGAGCTAGCATTTATCGGTTTATCGTACGTAGACAAAAAAAGAGGTAGGACGTAGTCCTAAATGTAGTAAAGTAATTAGAACCCCATTCCTTGCTGAACGCGGTGGTGCGAGCCCACAGGTAAGCCTTCCCAAAAACTCAACTCATAAGTATCTAGTCAATTTAGCATCGCGATATAAAACTATACTAGCATCTTGTCTCGTTTTGGTAAGTTTGTTTTTACACGACTTTGCCTGCAGCTACAACTTCACTAAAGAACTAACACCCTGAGATAATTTTACTACATTTCTATCTACATGTTAAACCATTTCAGTTGGTACGTGTCCACAACTTGAGATAACGAAGCGCATGAATTCGGCTAGAGTATCGTGGTCACGCATAGACCACGTTTTCTGCCAGTGTAGTGTCGCATCAGCTATAATCCGACGCCACGTTTAGGTAAGCTCGACGCGCAGCTGTATCAAATACATAAATCCTAGGTAGAATCGAACGTTACATTGGACACCACGATTCCTACGACTGCCGTTATCATTACGAGCAGGATGGACTACTGGTGCAAAATACTTGTAAATATATACTTACAATTTTCGGACTTGTTTGGGAATGTTCCGCGGCACAAATCGAAGTCCTCGGGTCGAACAATCGACCGTGAGCGCATCGCAATCGCACTCATCTGGGCAGAAATCTAACTGGAGCATTGGGTCGCTGTTTTGTGCTTGCGAGCTACTGGCTAACAACATCAGCAGTAGAACGGCCATGACGAGAGCCGCGCATCGGAGAGCCATTGCGACCGATGGAAGACACGATAGGAGAGCAGCCTGAAGCGGGGACGGACGCCAGTTGCACCCACCGAGGCCACCAACCGAACCGATGCCGGACACCCCCACACCTCCTCTTCGTAACTGAAATTAAGCAGGTACCAACAAAACAGACAAACAACAAACAGTATTGTCAACAAAGAACGCCGGAACAGAAAACCCCCCAACTCTTCAACTATATCCATTAAGCAAACGTTCGACGGCAGCGGCTAAAGCCGAAATAGAAGTTATCCTGCTTCAATACATATCTCCGCTATAAGTGACAATCAAGCTTCATAATTGTTGAATCGGGCGCGTATTTTGTGAGCAAAATCTCGTGGTTAGCTTTAGCGCTAAAATCCAAACGAGTTTAGCATTAAGCTCTCGGAGCTCAGCCTATGAGTTACTAAAAATTTAAGTTAGAATATGACACGATCGAAAAAGACAAATCAGTAAAACATGACTTCCGAAGCCAAGATGTACGCTATCATTTATGAGAACATGCACCAAGTGTTATTCTATAGATGATAGTGCCTTTATACCGCGTAAGGACTAGCGATGGCCTGCAATGATTTGTTTGATCTAATGCAGATCGTGTGCCTAATGTATCTGTAAATGGTGTCGTTAACCCATGCTAGACTGACAATGGCCGTACTGTTTTAAGAGCGTGTTTTATACTCAAGTTATTCCATATACATATGGCCGTAAACGTATACGGCCTATCACCGTGAAGTACCGAACCATTTTACAGCGCGGTTCTTCGTAATCATCCGTTACAGCAGTCCATAGAAAGCCGCTAGATTTCGTCCTAACCATCGCGTCAGGTGTAATAATCCTGGCAGAGCACCTCTGCGCTCTAAGTAAACCGTCCCAACGTTTCGTAAAAACCAACAATAAGTTGATCCACAACTGATTCCCTCGTAAATTATCTACGCTGTAAAGCGTACATCGTGTTACGTTCAGCGTATTTTTATATCGTCGTAACTAATTCGACGGTTGGAGGTGGACGGTTTACCTGTTCTTCATAACCTTGACTAGCGTAATTCCCACTCTAACAGTATCGATAGAAAGCATGACGCTGCCTAATTCTTTTTTGGCTTAACGTGATCTGTTTCGTTGTAGCGTAAGCATGGTTCCGTCATAAAATTACGAAGAAAAGCAGTGACGGTAATTCCGAACGCCGGCAAACAGAATATGTCTTATATTCATAGTTGGTAAATGTAAATTATCACTCGGAGCTTGTGCACTGTTTCTCGAAAAATTCAAAACGCAACAGACAGTCCTGCTTGCAGGTTCACTCAAGTTAGGCTAAAACCCTTTTGCTACTCAATCAATATTCATCTATACGTATGTATATTGTCGTTGGCATGATAGTTCTTCTATTATAATAACTATCTAATGTCGACAGACCTTTTTCTAAATACCCTATACAACGTCGTCGTTTAGTCAAGTGCCTATTGATAAATAGGACACACAGTATACGAAGATTTGAAACTGTATTACGTATGAATAGCTATTTCCCTATCTCCGAGTCCCACGTACGTTTGATTACTCAACAGATACTAGTATAATAACGGTGCTAAAGTTGTGCCCAGAATTTCAATAGAGGTTCCTCAATAGTTAAGAGATTTTGTTTATTCCATTCGGAGGTGTTTACGATGTCTTAGTTCGGTAAGAAAAGCAAGATTCGCTTATAGATATTATTGCTTTACGTTGTGACGCTTTTTCAATGAGTGGTGTTGTTTTTTTCCAGCCATCGAACGGCGATAACGTTTCAATATCTATTGTAATGTCTGTCCGTCTCGCTCGAGTAAACCGCGGGCCGAATGGCACGCCACGACCTGGCTCTAGGGCCTACCGAGTCAGTTTTATGGAAAGTACATTTGATCAGTCCCTCTACTTTATGCTGGAAACGACAGCGTACGCGAGTTCTCACAGTTTGTTCATGATTATCTCCGTAACAGCTGGAAGCTTTTACGCGTAGGGTGGAAGCATTAGAGATTCTCAGCCTCGATTCATAACAGATGGCCCAATATAGTGGGATTGGTAATTTCAATTTTTGCCCTTCAAATATAGTGGGATTGGTAATTTCAATTTTTGCCCTTCAAATATACCAGGAATTACACTAACATACGAATTACTACTAGTGTATTTTAATTGCTACAATTGGTAGACGTCTGAATCAATCTTCAACGTACTTCACTTTAGTTTATTCTGAAAACAAAGAGAAAGCTAAACAAATCACATTCAATCCTATTAGAAATTAGCGTTATTCCTATCGGGGTTTTGCTATTAAGCCTCCCAGAGTTCATGGATATCGTTGGCCAACGAAGGTATAAGTCGATATCAACTGATCGCTTCTTTGTTAGTCTCAGTGTTGCCTATTCGTTACCGCGGTAAAGCTAAACATTACACTAGACCTCTGAAGATTTGTGAAATAAATTAAATAAAAATAAATAAATTAAAATTCTGTGCCGAAATCCAAACCAGTATTCGGCATCAGTGTTCTTGTCATTGTGGTAGCTTCTTCAATACAACAAATTTACATCTATGAGACGCAAGAGACCCTTTTTTACCGATGTTTATTAATGGATATGTTCGCATCTCATGTAGAAATATTCCACAGAACAAACAGTCAGCAGAAACTATTTCAATTTCTGAGAGCCTATATGTTGGTTTGCATTCTAAATAATATATGCTAAGCTTTATAGATCCGACAATAACGGGCTTAGAATATGCTGATGTAACTGTTGCTTATTTCTATTTCTCGCGAAACATGTACCCTTCTATTTGGAGCTAAATACGATAGTTATCTTCGAACAACAACGGTGGAGCGTCGATCGGAGAATTTCGATTCATTTTTTATTATCAAATACTATCCGATATACGACTAAATTACCCGGCGAGTAAGTAAGTAACTTACTCGTCTCGTTCAGTATTCATGCCCTGGCTATGGACTTCATAATTACCGAAATTAATTGTGCTTCAAACAAAGCTCGCATGCCTTTAATGTTAGCCCTACTTTCCATGTTTTTTTTACGAATCATACACATAAACAAGACTTAAGCCACTGGATAAAAGTACTTTGATGCTCTGCAAAACCAAAATGAAGTAGTTCCACGGATCTCGTCAAGTACCTATTGCGTACTAGTATAATGCTACTCAGCAATGGTCCTACCGTCTGCTAGCTTTTCACTTAAGACAAATCGAGCAAAGTGCATTGCTTGCATAAGTCCTGAGCGTCAAAACATCAAAAAATGTTTGTGCCATATAGCAAAAATTCACTTGTTCCTTTTACAGAATACGATTAATTTACTACTAATTTTATTTCAGGTGGTATTTATCGTAGATGCGTCAAGTTCTAGCAGGTCAAAACAGGCTGTGTTACTCTATATCTACTGACCAGTAGATATACATGTATGTATATATATATATATATATATATATATATACAGGCCGGTCTCAGACGGTTTCATCAAACAACCTACCGAAGGAAGTTAACGAATCTGCTTACAGTCAAAGGACTAAGGTTTGTCCTACTCCAGCATATCAGTGTTTGTTCGTCGCTAGAATTAGCTGCGCTTAGTATTCCATGAAGGTAACGAAGGCACGTCCGATGATTACACGGGCTTAATCAAATGTTGTCGTGGAATTGCTGAGATGTCATCAGAAGGTCTAGGTCGGATAAGATATATAGTTTGAATGTGTGTAAACCGAAGTAAGCGGAGACACGTATCTGGACACTCTGCTGCGAGACTTGCACCTTTAAACTAAAGACTTCGGCCAGCTACGACGTACAGCTCGTGCCGGTGGCAGACCTGCTTTGTCGACCGATACGAGCGCACGAGACATCCGTGAATCGAAAAGCAGATTCACTTTTAAAGGTGGCAGATTCCGGCTTTCAGTGTAGCTGTAAACCTAGACGAGCCCACATTGGTCCACTCACTCAAGTAGGCGATCACTCGTTTTTACTAATAGGCGCAAATGAACGCATTGTATAACAAAATACGCGTAGATATTAAGTCAAACGTTAGTATCACTAGGATCAGCGCGACAAAAAGTCAGTCTTTTATCATTTAAACCTGTGGCATTCTGATAACAAGTAGTCAACAAAAGATCCCTTTGTTGCTTGAGGCCTTTCGAGTGCAAGTTCGATCTAGAGGAACCGACAGATAAGTCTGTTTCACATTGATACCATTCCAACTGTTTTCGTCGGGGATAATTATCTTTTTTCGAAATACACATTTCGAGACGACAACTGTACAGCCTGAGTTTGCCTCTCAGATAAGAGGGTATTCGGCTTAGTAAAAATTTTAAAAAGTATACGTCCTTTATAATCTGCGTGCCGGTTTGCGTCACTAAACGACAGTGGACGTCAGTTTAGGGCTCAATTGTGATGTCGCTATAATATTACGAAAGGAACCACTGACGATACCGCTTTTGTTCGCTTAGATCACTAGGTAGACGATTTCGTGAGAATCCACAAAACATACACCTGAAAAATGGGAAATCCCCTACCTCGGTGTCGTCGTTGACAAGCGGGGCAGCCGTCCGGATCCCTATAGAGCTTCGGCAATAGAGTACGTGCAGAGTTACAGTGACATCAAAAAGTGAAGCTACTTAATTATTATTGAGTATTCATTCTGCGTAGCCGTGAAATACAGGCTTCCCCGGGTCGTTTACCCACCACAGATAAGGACAAAAACATTTTTAGTAGTCGACGGATTGCGTGCGGGCGTTTTAAAGAACCGGAGACACCCCCGGTACCTTTGCATTAATCTTCGCTGTAATGCTTACATGGTGAACGATTCATCTCTACTTGCGTGCGCACCTTGTCGTTTAAAAGTTCCAAGAGATTCGAATAAAGGCTCAATGCGACACCTTTGTATCGGTCCACTCTTCTTGAGCAAACACATCTTTCGGTGCTATACTAATAGGCCACGTTGTCACTTTTTCAACTTGTCGAATAATCCTTCTTTTCGAGGATACAAAGGTGCGTGTCATTTGGAGATCATCATTCCGTAGCGACTTCGTTTCAACGTATAGCGAACAGTTCACCGTGGCATCTATCGCATAACACGTTCGAGACGACTGAAACGAAAGCACGTGCACCGGCTAAGAATCTACCAATGTAACGGAACAATGATCCGCGGGTGCACGATGTGCGCTGTAACATCAAAACACTTGGTGAATCAATTCCTGAGCCTGGTCCGTAAAAACGAATAGAAGTAGGCTTCACCGGCCTGAGGGCTATACGTTTGTGGATGTCACAGTCGGTAAGTGGCCAACATGATGATGTTAGCTGATGACCTTTCTGGCCAAATAATATTATAGATGACAGAGACTTCCGTGTACCTGCAGAGGCAACCTAAGTACCTGGGCAGATGTTCGAGAAGAGTAAAAACGTTCAATTCAAGCCTACGAATTAAGATGGATTAGACATGGAAACCTGCTTGAGCCCAGCGTGTGAACCGACGAAAACAAGGCGTGACTTGAAGCGTGATATTTGGCTCGCTATCCATCGGCCCCGTAGTAAAATTCTCCGACGCTGCATATCTATTCTATAATATGTTTGTTGTCTGTATCTGCTAAATAACTACAATTGACAAACTCAGTAGTAATAACTTAGGTCTCATTAACTTCCTTAAAACTATTATACATTTAAACCAATTTCATACGCGATTTTCAACAAACACTAGTCTAGACATCAGCAAATATTCTGGGTACCTTGGGCAGTTGGATTTTATGCGAATATAAAATTAATTTCTTAGGAATTTCACTCAGCTGTTCGCCAACTCGTCAATCCAAAAATCTGCCAAAAAAATGCCAAAAATCTGAGACATCTAGCTTTCTACGCTAATGACACAAGTTTATTGATAGATAAGTCGATCGATATCGAAAATAAAGTAAGTTAAAAGAAATAGCTGCCTTTTTTAAACGTATATATCATATCATAATAATCAATTAAACTAGGAAAGGGGTTGAAAATGTTCAACTATTACTATCAATAGATACAAAGGTAGAAGCGTTCACATATTTTGATTGATCGATTTAATCTGGCTATACCAGAAGGCTCGATATCAGGGTGTCTTTTTTTTTAGATGGGATAACGTTTTCATTGCTCTTTTACCTAGTTTTTTTTTCTTTATTTTTTCATGATCAAAGGATAACCTGTGTTTGATTCGGCAGGCATTTTCCATCTAGATTCTTTGAGTATTGTGAATGAATAAACTAGAGAAATCGGCAATAGCATTAACGTGATTCTAAATAGAACGCCATATGCGTCATTATAGATTTGTTAAACACTGATTGGGTCAAAGCAAAACACCTTAAGATCGACAGTGGTGCCACAATCAATCACTTCATTCGTTTATCCATTATTATAGAAGCAGGTAAAGATATTATAAATTGCCCGTACACATATACTTGTTACTCGCTATACTATGCCCACATATCTAGAGCCTAAGGGGTAAGCATATTCAAGCGGAAGTGGCTTATGCACACAGAGATGCGGCCAGAACATCCGATTTAACGACAAATGGTAGTAGTCCACTTACCTGCTGTGCTTCCTCGTCAGAGACCTGTTGATTGGAGAGCTCTGAGCGGCAGCCAGTGCTCGTATCGCTGTCGATGCCCGCTACGTCTAAACAACCGCCTCGACCGAATCCGAATCTGGTCGACTGTCTTCCTTGCCGACCACTGTTAGTATTCGTTTGAGCGGCGAGTTCTTGCAACGCCCTTGTTAGGCGACAAAGGTCCGGATCCGCTGCCGCTGCTGTGGCTGACAACAAGAACGAATCAGCGGCGTCGTTGATTTCGTGATCTGGATCCCGATTCGGTCGATGCCGGTCGTAACGACAATGGGAATGGTAATGGCGGTGGTGATTGTTGACAGCGGGGCCGAGGAGTTCTTGATCTTGCTGCTCGACGCCCTCAACGATCAACGCTCGTTGGTCGTCGCTTCCAGGCGACACTTCACTGGGACATCGTGAATCGTCGATGGGGTTTGTTGTCGCTGGTGGAGGGGTGAGCAAGAGACGCCCCTCCGGCTTCACCTTGATCACCTGAGACTTCACCGTGGAAAAGTGACCAGTGCGCGCTCCCAGGACCGGTCCGATACGGACCAGCTCCCGTTGGCATCACACGCGAGGCACGAAGCCTGTACAAGACAGGACCAAGGGAACGCAAACAGCAAAAGGACAGTGCTGATGATAAAAGCGAATCAGCTTCAGCTGTTGCTCTGAGCTTGAGCACAGCTCTAAATTATTATCGTTCGAGTTACACTTCGTTTTCAGGCTGATTGATTGATTTGTTTAGAAAAAATTTCGTATTGGAGGCTCTATTTGTATTAACCCACGTTTATTCTCGCCTAATTATCGTCGGTTTACTGCAATAGGTGCTGAAATATCTCGTCGTTATTCCTTCTTGAGTCCACTTTGTTACTATAAAATTCTACACACTTACTCTAAAAAAAGACACACAAAACAGTTGAGCTTCGTAATAATGTGACAGCGTCCTTTCGTAATAGCAATAATCCTTCAATCAGAGAGCACTGCTATCCTCGATGAGTAAGATTTCTCACTGTTTTACGTTCTACAAATCAATATTTCTGTCTCTTTCACTCCCGCTTTTCTATTTAACTAAAGCACATGTCACATACTCACTGCGCACATCGATTTCGGTCAAGCTTACGGCATTAACACACCGTCTTCAATAGAATACAGTTCTCCCTCTGTTACGCACAACTTACGTCAACAACAACACAAGCTAACATTACCGTAATGGTAATGGCGGTAAAGTTACGGCGGAGAACTTGACTGAGATAACTTTACGACACTTCACACACTAGTCGAGCGATAGATGCACAGTTGCTGAGAAGGTCATTAACACTACTATTGTCACCTGCATAATCCTCGGATGCGACCAGTGACTATCCAATATTGAAAATATATAATACAATCCAATGTCAACGAGCTGCCACGTGCTGTCAATTGAGATTGGTTATGTTACCGCAAAAACTATAACGCGTAACATCGGCACATCGTTGCTTTTGGACACCGTTTGTGCACTTGTTGATCAGAATTGTTTAGCTCACTACAACGCATGTTGTTAACGTTGTCTCTGTTATTGCGGTTGTACTTGATACGCCGAAATATTCTCAATTATGAGCTCTCGCTATGAAAAAACTCTTACGATACAACAAAACGAACGTAAACAAGTTATCGGGCTCCGGCACCGAGACGGATTACGATCGGCTAACAAAACGCCGACAGATAAGTGGTCGACACGTTGGCGTGGGGATCAGCGATCGTTCTCTGTCAATAGCAATAATACCCACGCTAGTCTCGTGAGAAATTATCAGTAACATGCACATGCACTTGTGTATGCTGGTCAATCAGTCGTTGTATGCGTATCGATTGCACACGCTGTGTTTTTTTTTCCCGCTAAGGAAACAGCCGTGAAACCGCTCTTGTCTAACGACGCTCTATCGACTGACACTTCTCTCCCCGAACTGTCCCGATCGGGGAGGGGGAAAGGGTCTGATCAGGCAGATTCGGAGAGGGTAGCGACGGATTGGGCGAGGGCTGTTCCGGTGCGAAGCGCACCTTTGAACTCAAAGCAGTAGCAGGGCTGGCTCAGTTCAACAACAAACTGGGGCTGGGCGAAGCATTGCTTTTATGAGTGAGTTACTGATTCGCGCCCGTATAGCTACCGACGTTGTGAAACGTACTAGCTCCAGGGCGAAGGGTCTTTTTGATAAATTGAAAAGACCCTTTCTGCGACGATGGTGTCTGTCAAAAACGACAATGTCCATATGATCTAGCCGTGATTGATGTCAGACAAGCGGAGGTGGATACGCATCTGCAAATAAGCAAAAATTGCTTGTAGGCATCGACGCAGCCCCGTCGGTATTACCATATCGTATCATTGTTGAGCGATATTCGTTAGCTGGCAACAAACGTCTTTCACAGAGATGCTCATTTGTGTACACCCTATGGCAATTAACAGATTCCGAGCATGTCGCTGTGGACGCGCAAAGACAACACCCGTACAAAGCTTCGACCTAGTTTGTATCAAAAACAGCATAAACGAAGCTAAGTAAACAAGGCTATACCGCTATGCTTCATCACTATCTAATATGTATGTTGCCTCATTGAATGTGTTGTACTTGCTTAAAGGATGGACAGACCTAAATGAGCCTGTCGAGCTAGGTCTGCCTTCCTTAAAACGGACAGACATGTAACTGTCCTACACCTTTCTCGAAGGTCGGCCAGTAATGAATACTAGGCAAGTCTACGGTTGTAGAAATTGCAAGGCCCTTACCTTTTAGCTTCAATGCATAGATAACGTTTAGTTTGATCGGAAGTTGTTAAGAGTATTATTCGTGAGAGCAAAACGTGCTACAGTGGGCACTAGAGAAGCCAGAGAACTTTTGATCAGACCAACACTTCCTTTTAGAGGTTTATTTTTTATTCTACAGTTGCTATTTCTGTCTAGGTTTTATCTTTTAAAGGTGTCAGGATAGCCAAAGGGAACAACAATGGCAGGACAAGTACATGAAGTAGTTGTCATTGCAGGTAAGGGTTAGTGGCGATACCCCACATTCCATAGATGACCTAACCTAGAGCGTGTTGTGGCACGCATTGCGTTGCTGTTCTTTAACTTGCTATTTCTACTAGTGATTACTTACTGAGAGAAGCATCAAACGCTAAAATATTATTACTTTGAGCTTTAACGTCTTAGAAAAACAACAATCGAACCACTAGCGCCGACAAAGCGGGGCCTCTATATTGTCATCAATTCGTTACGTAACGAAAAAAAAAAAAAAAAAAAAGATTAACTACCTAAAGAACTGTGGCTCGTATCAAAGAAATCTAGCTCATCCATTGCTCGCCAACAGGTTCTATCGACGCATCGCGGATGGACACCTCTCGGATGCGAAACAATACTCAGTCTTAGCCATACTGAAGTTTTATTATCATTTCCCACATTCGATTTATATTGCTTTTCCGCGTGATAAATCCGAACGAGTCAAACGTAGATACGCTGTCATTACACAGCACATTGATACAAGACTAGTATCCCGTCTAGGGTAGTTTTTAGTTCATGTTCCGATAAGCTTATAACTAATTGTACCATTTTCAACTACGTATCCTTACGCCTTATCGACTTTTTAATTTGCATTTATCGGGTATTTGACGTGTGGCGTTCACGTCTAGGATAACTTTTAAACGTTAGAGAAAATTTACTCAGTGTAGCCTAAGTGTGGACATTTATCTCTTGAAAATGAAATCTTTCTTTGTTTATTCAGTCATACATACAGTATATCATAAGTACAGTCTCGAATAAGCACAGTAGCCCAGAATGGTGCGCCTATCGTAGATGATGAGTACGTCAAAATTTCGAAATTCGTCGGCATAACGACTTTGTTTACTATGAGTAGACGACGCATGAGTTGTTTTTGTTTATGCGTATGCGGTATGATCCACATTGTCTACATTCATTGCAGGCCCTATGAGATTATTTATATTGCGCTGTCAAAACGTTTCATTTACGTCTATTTGCTCATGTTTACTGTAGAGGCTCTGTTGAGGATGTATTGTTTGAACATTGGATACATTGGACTTTTAGACATGTTCGATCTGGAATGTAGAAAAACAAAAAAAGTATTTACATGAAGCAGATACACGGTTTTAAATAAACTGTGATGACAATTGTAGTGGTTTTTTGTCGTACAGTCTTCGGCACCGCGTGCCGCTACGCTGGCAGAACCAAGTGTATTAAAAATTACTCTGCGTCAAATCCTTTCTCGACCGTACATTTAAGGCTCGTTCAGGATCGTCATATAGCGAACGTGACGCAAAAAGACGGCGAAAGCAAATTGCAGAACAAGCTCCTTAAAGGAGCCATGATACGTGATTCAATGGCGCTGCACTAAATTTATCTATCTAGTGAATTCTCGCCAGCTAAAGAATGCTATCAGTCGAGCGCACAGACGCTGCCTTCTTCGAACGGTCCTGCCGGCATAATTCTGCAGACGTTGCAGCCACGTGTCTTCCGATAGATAAACTACTTTTCTGCCTAAGGACATCAGTTTCGTTCATTGACTATGCAGGGCGCGTTTATACGGGCAGTAGGGCGGTGCGACTTTGAACATAGGACCAATTTTCTAGAGATTTCATTTGTGAGAACTTTAAAGATACTGAGGTAAAGGCGTAACAAGATGGCAATGTATGTGTACACTGGCGTCATTACGCGGCCTCATACAGATTATAATGGGATAAATGGCGATGATGCCATTCAATTTTGCACAGTCCTTCTTGGGCACAGGAGCCTCGCACTAGGGAACAACGTTATTACCGTAACAGACTTGTTTGGTAAAAATTTGTCATCAATATTTTATTACAGTCAAGTATTATATGCTTGAGCAAATAAATTGTGTTAGATAGAAGAACAATCAAGTGAACATCGTTACAGACGATAATCTATCATATAAGCCATAACTAATTTCTGTGTAGGAAGACTTTCGTCTTCGTAGCGTGTCGTTAGCTTCTAGAGCTCTAGCCAGACCGGCGTGTAGCTATAAAAGTGTAAGGGAAAATCCAGTTCGAAGGTTGTTCTTTTGCTAAGTGCAGGGAACGGATAGATTAGATGTCGTAGACTGCTATCGCTTCCCGCCCGCGTTTGCCTCCTCCATTCTCCCAACACCAGCGGCACCACTAGCGTGAGCGTGGACGCAGTTACAAGAAACAAGATTAGATTGAGGGGAACTTGAAGTTTGATAGCCCTGAGTCGTCCCTTGTTCAGTTTGTCCTTACCAGTTCTTGGCCTCGAACTGGAAGAACTTGCCTGTGGGCCGAGTTTCCTATAGACAAGGGTCAAGTTTAACTTGAAGAGGAGCAGACAACGAAAGCAAATGCAGAGGAGTCCTCGAGGCAGACTGGGAAACGCTTTAATCAATTCGCCAAATTACAAGTGACGGGCACCCCAAAATGTTTCAAAGTTACTAGTCCGCCCATTTTTATTGTGTGCTATCCCACCGAACATATTACACTGTAGTTATTCGCCCATCCTTCAATAGGGCTAGAATAAGCTCGTCCTATCACTGGTAAGTGGTTTTAT